TGAAGTACTCCCGTTCGATGGCACTTTATTTGCTATGAAATGAAGTACTCCCGTTAGATTGCACTTTATTTGCTATGAAATGAAGTACTCCCGTTAGATGGCACTTTATTTGATATGAAATGAAGTACTCCCGTTAGATGGCACTTTATTTGATATGAAATGAAGTACTCCCGTTAGATGGCACTTTATTTGATATGAAGTAGTGCTGTTGTGTGGAGCTTTATCAGTTCTGAAGTAGTGTCGTTACATGAAAATGTAATTGATTTTGAGTATGGCCGTTAAATGACACTTTATGTAATATGAAGTGGTTTCGTTAAATGGCGCTCTATGTGATATACAGTAGTGACATTAGATGAAACGTTATGTTACCTGAAATATGGCAGTTATATGACACTTTATGTGACATGAACTGGTGCCGTTATATGAAGCTTTATATGGGATGTTACGTTTAAGATTGATCAAAACCTATGTTTGATTTTTTTTTAAATAGATCCAACTAACAAATACATTCATTCATTAATCAATATTGAGTTATAAAATAGGAAATTTCCAATCATTTTAAGCACATGATCTCAATTAGAATGTATATTTTGACCCCGAGGCTATAGTTTCTTTGTGTGACTAGCTATTTCATATTTTCACAGATTGAAGTTTCATAACATGATCAATCATTGTAATGGTTTTATTTATAATTATTTGATTTGAAGTATATAATTTTTTTATCATCGGCTAATGTTCTGAGCAAAGCCGTTGGTCAAGCACGTATCGGACACTCATTTCCAGTGAAATGGCAAACGCATTTATACTTGAGCTGCCTGAGAATGTATTTATTTTTTCTATATCCTTCTGAATGTTCCTGAAGACATTCGAGTCACGTGATGGCAGTACTTGCAGATATATTGCTTGGTCTCATGAGATCAATCATGTTCAAGATTTATTCAAACGTTCCGAGGACCGCGATGTGTACACACCAGCAAGTTTTGGCCGGTCGATGGGGTTAAATCAAAGATGATTGTTGGCTTGTGAAATCACTCAGCACCGGCAGTGGCGAATCTAAGGGGTTGCATTTGGGTTGACCACCCCGGGGTGCACTTTTAGAGTCTTGAACTGACATGACATAAATGATGTATGTTTGTTTTAAGGGGAGCTCTTTTGGCAGCTCGCCCAGGGCGGCTGAATTCAAGGTACGCCACTGAGAACCAGTGAACCAAATTGTATGTGGTTTATTGATTTATATTAAAACCTAAGAAAAACATGTTTAAAGAGTTAAATAATCAAAAGTAATATGGCCCCATATGTTATTATTAAGTTATAGTTTTATTAAAATCAGAATATTGTTACAAATTAATTACAATTATTTATATCCACCTACACAAAAATACATATTTTTACACAGAAAGCAGGGGTCAGATACAAGTAACTGTTAAAACATTCAACTAACACTCAACTAACATTCAACCAACATGTATGAGATAAAAGTAACAGGCTATGTGTACATATATAAACTGGCAAGTGTGAGATACAAGAATCACGTAAAAGATCAACTAACACGTAATATGATACAATTGTCTGGTAGTATATGTTCAAAAAATTAAACAACTGACAGTTGACGGACACAAACAGCAGTTTAATTACACGCCCCGTAGTTAATTGACATATCCAGAAACTGATGGATAGACCTAGCAGGTGATTGACACACCTAGCAGGTGAAGGAATTTTAAAGTGAAATGCAAATAATTGACTTGCACTTCAAGATTTCATCTCCACGTGCAAGTCCGTTATTGAAATCTTAATTTTTAAAAACAATTTTTTACAAATTAAGATTTCAGTAATGGACTTGCACATTCGAAATGACGTCTGCATGGAAAGACCTGAATAGAGATCTGGATGGAATGACCTGAAATCACATAAATATCGAATGATTTGAAATGACATTTGCATGGACTGACCCGAAATGGCATCTGGGTGGAATGACCTGAATTGGCATCTGGAGGGAATGGCCTATTTTGACACATGCATGGAATATCCCGAAAAGGCATCTTGTTGGAATGACCTGAAATGGCATATGGGTGGAATGACCTGAATTAGCATCTGTATGAAGTGACCCGAAATAACATCTTTATGGAATGACCTGAATTGGCATCTGTATGGAATGACCTGAATTGATATCTGTATGGAATGACCTGAATAGGCGTCTGTATGGAATGACCCAAACTGGTATCTTGTATTGAATGACCTGGATTGGTATATGTACGTTATGACAAGAATTGTCATCTGTACGGAATGAACTGATTTGACATCTGTATGGAATAGTCAGAATTTTCATTTGTAAGGAATGACATTAAATGGCATCTGTATGTAAATGATTTGAATAGTCATCTTTGTGGAATGACATAAATAGGCATCTGTATTGAATGACCTGACCTGGCATCTGTGTGGAGTGACCTGCCATTTCTATAGGGGAACTAACCGTGAGGTTCATTGGAAACTGTATAAATAATACGTTAATTATGTTACTATGGGGTGAGAATTTTGTTGAGAAAGTCATTACAAGACAAGGTCAAGGCTAATTCGTTTACAGCAAAGATTCTCAGACGTTTTCAGGGCATAGCCCCCTTTTGGCCCTAATATCGCCTTGAGGCCCCAACAGTCTGTCTTTCCACAATATTAGCCAACATTTTTCATGATTTTCTATCAGAGATACATACGATTTATAGAGTCGCCGAAACTTCTTGCAATATGATTAGATTTCTATTCAGTTTGATTGATTTGAGCGAATCTAAACAACAGCAACCAAAGAATGTGTTGAGAATGAAACGAAAGTACTTCTTACCATTTACCGAAAGGCAAAACATGATAGAACATGTACACTGATAACAAATAGTTTGATACAAATCTCTTAATTTTTACTGAAAGTCAATACCACTTGTAGCTGAATGAGCACAGCCTTCACTGCACCAACTCTATCAATGGATTATATCAAAATGATCACATCTATCACTGCACCAACTCTAGCAATGGATTATATCAAAATGATCACATCTATCACTGCACCAACTCTATCAATGGATTATATCAAAATGATCACATCTTTCACTGCACCAACTCCATCAATGGATTATATCAAAATGATCACATCTATCACTGCACCAACTCTATCAATAGATTATGTCAAAATGATCACATCTATCACTGCACCAACTCTATCAATGGATTATGTCAAAATGATCACATCTATCACTGCACCAACTCTATCAATGGATTCATTCAAAATGGATTTATCATTCAAAAATAATTTAAATTTTTGTTTCTTGTAAAGTTCCTTTTGTACTACTTAGTTTCACCAGCTAAATGTGCCAGCTAATTGTGCCAGCTAATTGTGCCAGCTATTTGTGCCAGCTAGTTTTGCCAGTTAATTGTGCCAGCTAATTGTGCCAGCTAATTGTGCCAGCTAATTGTGCCAGCTAATTGTGCCAGCTAATTGTGCCAGCTAGTTGTGCTAGTTAATTGTGCCAGCAAATTGTGCCAGTTGATTGTGCCAGCTAAATGTGCCAGCTCATTGTACCAGATAATGGTGCCTCGCTAAGCATAAATGTATTTTTGATAACTTAAAGCTTATGTTACATGTTTTGAAAGTAATCTTGCCTCACTTTTGTTTGCGCAAAATGTAGTATGTGTTCTGTCCTTGAAATTTCCTTGATGCCACCTTATTAACAAAATTACATTCTCTTTCTTCAACATACTTATAGTAGCTCAAAACCATAGTGCCGATATAATTACCCAGTGGCCCCTAAACTCTACAAAGCCTTTCAACGCCTCCTGGGTTTATCAAACGCCCCAGGGGTCGGTATCGTCCACTTTGAGAATCACTTGTCTCCTGTAAATCAATTAAGATGTCATCATAAAAGTTGGGTGTAGAAATTGCCATTGTAAGACCATCCAACCGAGAATGTAAGCCAAAGATTGACTTTTCTTCTTGATAAACAAAGACCTATCCTTAACACTCGGTTTTAATATGAGAAACTATGAGATCAAGGATTCTCAATGTGTTTGTAATTAAATATTTGGTCATGCTTTTATTTTTTTAAAATCATTTAATTGTGTTGACATGATGCATGGGAATCTCCCAGTTTACGGGCTTTAAAGTGGGCATGTGGCTCTCCCAGTCTATTGGCTTTAAGTGGGCATGTGGCTCTCTAAGTCTATTGACTTAAAGTGGGCAGGTGTCTCTCCCAATCTATTGGCTTAAAGTGGACATATGACTCTCCCAGTCTATTGCTGACATAACATCTGACTCTCCCAATCTATTGGCTTAAATCTAAAATCGCCTCCATCGGTCTATTGCTGACATAACATCTGACTCTCCCACTCTATTGGCTTAAAGTGGACAAATTCCTCAGTTAGTCTATTGATGACATCAAATCTGACTCTCCTAGTATATGGGCATACACTTGACATCTGCTCCTGCCCGTCTATCGCCTAATTTAGGTATACATTTTATGTTATTTTAATATTTAATAAGATAAGTTCAACAATCCTATTCTTTTAGTCTACCATGAATATTTCAGCTCTTAACTTTGCTATTCTACCATTTTAAAACCTTTCATTTTTCATCTCATTTTTCAACATTGTGCAACACATTAAAAAAGCCATTTATGGTTGTCTGGAATCGTCTTTATTTCTTTCTCTCTCGTCTGTTTTTCCTCTCTCTCCCCCTCTCTCTTGTGACTTCTCTCACAGCACCTTCTCTCGTCTCCTCTCGCCCCCTCTCTCCGTTCCACTTGATATATCTGGAATAACTTCTAGTGAGCCAACTGAGGATCAAACCAACATTATTTTGATATTTTGAATTTTTTTGGGGAAAGATCAAAGTAAAGGTCAGAGAACAACGAGCCAGCTTTAATATCCAAAAAAAATGCAAAGAAATTAATTAAAATAAAATAAAGAAAAGTAAAAGAAAAATGTTTTAATTTAGCTGAATGTTTTCACATCTCCAGTACCACATGACATAATTGTATTTGTTTTATACAAAGAACAACAGCTTATTATTTTCATAAAACTCATGGCATGAGATCAACAATTACAGCCAGTTATAATAATTGGCAAACCATTGGAATAGGTCAAGCTCCTGGGGGAATTCTTATATGGGTGGTCACTGTGAACGTTGTCTGACCACCCCGTGATATTAGAGGTTTATTTCATTGCGTCTTTATCTACCAGCACGTACCTCAATCGCTTCCAGGATTTCAATTGTTCCGTTGCCTGAAAGAAAGCCAAATAATGGGCAATTTTTTATTTGGTACACCTTCCGTTTAATTTTTTACAACTTTTGTAACTCCTGATAATAAAAACTATTTTAGAAAAAAGTTTCAAACATTGTTCTATGCTCTAATAGCACCAAACATTTTCTATGCTCTAACAGCACGAAACATAGATGCTTTAATAGCACCAAACATTTTCTATGCTCTAAGAGCACCAAATATTATCGATGCTCTAATAACACCAAAAATTATCTATGCTCTAATAGCACCAAACCTATTTCAGTGACTAAAAGGCTCAAATAATTTTTCAAACTAATTTTAATTCTCAAATATAAAAACATTTTAGAAATTCAACAAGTGCTTTTTTTGTTGTAGCATGTACTAGTAAAATTATAATTTATTGCAACTTTTTTAAATGCCATGGGTGTAATTTGCGCATTTTATTGTAACTTTCATAAGTGCCATTGGCGTAACTTGGACCAGTACTAACCATTTTTATCCAGACCGGTAAACTTGGCACCAACTTCTGCTGTACTGATGACGTCATCGTTGTTGGCGTCAAAAGATGTGAACACATCCTCAGCATCTTTGACTGATCCGAACTTGCTGTCGACCCACGTCTTCAAGAAAGACTCCTTTATTACTGTGCCACCAACTGAAATTCCAAACAGTCTTATGTATTGTCTTCAGGGCCGTATTAACGTGATGTACATCAAACGCCGATAGAATCAAATACCCATAACACACTCAGACCGTGACACTTTTGACTTTTATTTCAACGAGATTACCGCCGCCTCATCACATCAACACTAGAAATAGCCGGCCTTTCACTGAAAGCAGCCATGAGTGAACTTAACATCTACTCAATTTAATTGACAAAACATGCATTCAAGCAACGCACTATACGATTCCAAATTAGTTCTATTTCCCCCCCCCCCACTCCCGGGCCAACCTGGTAAGTCAACGGAGCTTATTTCATGCTCCTGAGCTTATTTCATGCTCCTGAGCTTATTTCATGCTCCTGAGCTTATTTCATGCTCCTGAGCTCTATAAATATTCTAATGTCCCGCCCAATTTACACTGCACATTTTAAACAAACGAAACTATTACGCACCAACTGAACCTGCTAGCAGGTATTTTTTAAGAATTTAATATCACGCAGTTATGAATTTAAATTTGCGTGGAATGGGACTCAGTGTTACACCATACTTACCATCATGCCCAACAATTATTAGTTGTGAATCATTTTTTAATTGCAAACCTAAAGATAAATCGTTAAAATTTTCCTGAAAATCCAATTGAAAATTCCTAAATACTTGATGTTGTTTTTGCTTTCAGTTGCGAAGCTTATACTTTTTCTATCAACAAGTACTTTCAGTTGCGAAGCTTATACTTTTTCTATCAACAAGTACTTTCAGTTGCGAAGCTTATACTTTTTCTATCAACAAGTACTTTCAGTTGCGAAGCTTATACTTTTTCTATCAACAAGTACTTTCAGTTTAACTACGAAGGTGATCCCAATCTTTCACTCAATGCCTCTACAATCTAACTAAAGAATACGTGCACCTGTGAAGGAACGGAAGAGCTGAGAGAATTCTGATCTGGTCAAGTGCTGGTCATTGTTGTTGGACTTTTCCACTCTTTCAAACAGTATGACGAAGGGGACTTCATGGTAAACCTGTGATATATTGGACACAGTTGGTAGGCAGCTACGATAATAGGACTCGGTAGGCAGCTATGATAATAGGACACAATTGGTATGCAGCTATGATAAAAGACACAATTGTTTGGATTTTTAAACAATAGGACACAGTTGCTAAGCAGATAGGATCATAGGACACAGTTGGTAGGTAGCTAGAATATTAGGACACAGTTGGTAGGCAGCTATGAAATTAGGACGCAGTTGGTAGGAAGCTATCATAATAGGGCACAATTGTTAGTAAGCTATTACAGTAGGACAGAGTTGGTAGGAAGCTAGGATAATAGGATACGGTTGGTAGGATGCAATGGAAATAGGGCAGAATTGGTAGGAAGCTATGGCTAAAGGACACAGTTGGTAGGAAGCTATAATAAATAGGGCACAGGAGTTAGGCATCTAGAATTATAGGACCCAATTAGTAGTCAGCTAGGCTTATAGGACTCATTTTGTTGGCAGCTAGGATAATGGGACAAAGTTTGTAGGCAGCTATGATTATAGGGCTCAGTTGGTATGAAACTATGGTAAACGTGATATCATCTCACATTTGATGGTGTCCCATGATAAGCCATATAGGATAAAAAGAAACTATGGTAAACGTGATATCATCTCTTCATTTGATGGTGTCCCATGATAAGCCATATAGGATAAAAAGAAACTATGGTAAACGTGATATCATCTCACATTTGATGGTGTCCCATGATAAGCCATATAGGATAAAAAGAGATTACCGTCGTAGTTAAAATGAACAAGGACATTTCCAAGACAGGTTATTTCCCCCTCCGTTACCCAAATATCCAAACATTATAAAATTATATTGTATACATCACTCTTCATTACGAAAAATAAATATCTAATAACTCAATCTTCACAACCACGTAAAAAAATGTTGTATAACGCACCCTTCACCACCACAAAAAAAAAATAATTTGTTTTACAAAGATGATTTTATAAAGACTTGAAATATCTAATCAAATCATGAATGAAACAGAATCAGCAGAACGAGCGGATGATGCAGGGAGGTAACGGGGTAGGACCTACATATTCTCTTATTTATATGTGCAGAGTTATCGATCGTTTTTGAAGTTCTTAATGTTGACTAGCAAATGATCTGTAGCACGAGGCCTGTTCATCCGGCGCGCCGACGGTACTTGAACTTGCTTGATGAAACATAGGGAACACGAGACGTTGTGATACAATTTAAATGTCAATATTACTTTTAGAATACTAGGAGATATGCGCACGTGCGTAGACCTCCTGGCTGCTATGCGCCTTTAATTTACAATTTTCAATTATTCTATCTAGATTTTCTTCTCTATTACAGAACTTTTTACCCTCGAAAACCTAAAATCGTACACTATCGTCTCAAAATTGTACAATACTACATCTTAATATTAAATTAATAAATATACAGTAATGTAAGTTTATGAATTAACTAATTACTTGCATCGCAGTGCTTATTGGGATTGGGTTAAGCTGACGCAAAAAAAGTTATCTGCTAAAAGTAGATGACCGATGTTTATATTTCAATATACGGTCAATTTGATTTGCTGACGTGTATTTGCTATATATATTAATTTATATTGAGTGGACGTACAGGTCACATCATCATCACAGTCTATCACTGGTAAAGATAAAGTTACTTGTGAAATTTAACGTGGTTCAAACTCGAACTCAGATCAGCATTAAACAAGATGTATTTAAATAAGAATTAATCAACAAATGATGACATCATTGAAAATACCTACCAAGTAACCTGAGGTTGCTCTATTTTGGAAAAGCTGGTTTAAAAAAAAACTATAAAATAAGAATGTAATTCCATTAATCTTATTCCCGCTAATACATTACAGTCTGATAACTACAACAACCTGTAAACGGGTAAAAGAAAGAGGAGTGTTGGAAACACACGTGGACATTAAAAATCCTAGTCGGCAAGTTCAGTTGTGCGGAGAACAGACGAATTTGAAGTTAACATGGTGCTAAAGACACGTGAGAAAGGTATGAACTTGCTGTATGAACACTGAATGTGTCTACTGATCTCTCACAACTTCTCGTGTTTATTTGTGGTGTCAATTTGGACTTGCAGAGCTCGGAGGAGTTGACGTCCGTTTGCAGCATGGTTGTAACAACTTATGTCTGTGAGCAAACATTTTCAAAAGATAAAATATGTGAAGCAACACATCAAACGAGAGGGATTGCTGAACATTTGAAAACAATCCATTTGATTGGCGACAGCAATTCCAAACCAAACAGTGATGCTTTCTTGAAAGCCAAATGTCAGTTTCACAAATCTCATTAAACTTTTTTGCTGCTTAGTTTGTGAGATTCGGATATGTGCGCACTAGATCTGACGTAATTATATTTTTGCTAAAGTCGCCTTTTTTGGGGTACTTTTTTAGTAAATAAGTATGTTGGTTGCTTTGCTTTTTTTTCCCCTTTGCATTGCACGCCACTCACCAATGATTAACATGGAACACTAAACTTAGTTTTTTGCCTTTTTTTCCTAGAGCGTTCGTTCTGGCTTGCACGTATTGTACAGAATGATTATCAGGCCCACGCTCGTCATTTTTTTCCGTTATCCGGCCCACGGTAAAAAAAAATGTGAGGCGACCTCCGATCTGTAGTTTAACGAAGGAATCAAATCTTCACATGAAGCCAGTGATATGTTAACCGGTACATTTGCGGTAGAAGTGATGGTGAAAAAGTGAAGTTCTAAGATGACAACCAGGAGAAGAATACAATGCACTGCTAGGCCAACAGAAGAACACAAAAAAATCTGGAGACCACCAGACCAAACCGAAATCAGAAGCACCAGCAAAGTAAATGAAATATTACAAGTTTCTCAAAATTTCTGATTCATTTGTTCCGAGAGTCTATTAAGATGTACATTTGCACAGAGATAGGTTTAAAAAAAAACAGTAAACGTTTGTACGAAGTAAAATGTTGCACTTTCTCTATTACAAAATTAAAACTTTCTGGAATGAACGTTTCTAATGAGCAAGAATCTTCTTTGAATCTTTATTCGAAATTTTAGTTGCAGGAATTTAACGTACTTATTCGTTCATACATCATCTTGCTTTAAATTATTCTTCGTATATAAAAATGTGAAGATTGGCGCCTGAGTCTTTTGTGAACAAAAATGCCGAGTGGTGTGTGTGTGTCTGTGGGTGTCTGTGCGTGTGGGGTCGTGTGGGGGTGGAAAAAGAGGGGCGGGTCACAGTGTTGAAGCTTGAGAAACAGACGCATCCAGAGACGCATAAAATAGACACTTTTTTGCCATAAAATCACGTGACACATATTCGGCATATAATCGACATGCTGGCATAAATTCCCACTGACCTGGGGGAAATCTTTACAAAAAGAGATTAATATTCGGGGAACTAAATGATACTCGTAACTTGATATAAAGACATTTTTACAGTATAGAGATTTTTACTGTATAGACATTTATACAGTATAGACATTCTCAAGTTCACTCTGTGACAAAATACATATTTGTAAAAATAAAAACATGTAATAAAACATGTTTTTGATAATCTGGGGTTAATGCACACACATCCTGCTGTTCCCACACAGAAATGTGTTCCGATGTTCGAGCAGTCATGACTCTGTGTTCTTCTTTTAGGCAGACAAAGCTTTGTTTTAACTAATTTTTATATATTACAGTCTTAATGTAATAATGTTTCAATGATTGCTAACTAATTTCCATCATACTATTAGATCAATGTTTATTAAAGGTTTTTCTTAAAATTGTAAATATTCCCAGGTCGACACAAAATTTACTATGTGGTTTAGATATTATATAGCACTAGCAAATACACCCGGCTTCACTGGGGCTTGCATTCGAGAAAATAAAACTTCTAAAGCGTTACCAGCGTACACCTAAATTTAGGTTCCTCTGGAAAAAAAAACTTCACTCAAGTAGCAATAAAGCAAAAAGAAATATTCTCCTATAAAAAGTCAAGTTTAAAAAATTTTGTAAGTATTGTAATTGGACCCACACCTTTAAATAAGCTAGTCACATCAACACAAACATATTTAAAAATTAATACAACATATTAAACAATGTTTTATTTTAAAAAAGCGATTCATCTATGCCAAATCTAAGGCCGTTTATCAATTAACATTTTAACAAAAAAGATCCATTAAATGACCCCATTTCAAAAGGATCAATTTTAGTTACCCGAGATAAGGAAAATATAAAAACATCTAGATTAATTTGTCAACTTTATTTCATTTAAATCTGAAGCACAAGGGAAAGATTTTGTCTTTTGCAGTTCTGCTATTGGGTACCCCGCCCACCAATGTCTCGGTGACCGAGCAGTCGGAACCGAGGCAGTAAAACCAGCTGGTATACATGCGCTCACTCACTGAAAAAAAGCCCAGACAAGCAAAAACTTCACCATCACCATGGGTGGATGGGACTTGTTCACCTCGGACGGCTACTCATCCAAGAGAAGGAAACTATGAATTTAAACTCGGAGACGGATTGCAGTAGGGAGATGACATTGACTCTGTGAAAATTCTGGCAACTCCTGCTACGCTACTGGTGTCAAGCTGTATCACAAACGTAACGTTTTTTCCTTGGGTTGTACAGAGTGCGTACAGAGAGGCGTTGGCTGTCGAGGGAACCAGCTTATCATCCTAAAGAAAACTCACAGGCCTTCTGATTTCGTCCTTAAAAGTCTAAACCATCGTCACATCATGACGAATGATTGAATTTTTTTAAATTTTTTTTTAAAGGGATTGCCCCCACCCCCCCCCCCAAATCTCCATACCACGATAATTATATCTTGTATATATTACAGCAGGGAGTATTTTAGGTTTGATAACGAAAACACTTTATTTTCAAAGATGATCTTTTTAAAAAGAATTTTTTTAAATTTTTTTTTCAAAGGATTGCCCCCACACCCCCCCCAAATCTCCATACCAAGATAATTATATCTTGTATATATTACAGCAGGGAGTATTTTAGGTTTGATAACGAAAACACTTTATTTTCAAAGATGATCTTTTTAAAATTTCTTGAAATAAGCCGTTGTATTAGTTTCCTTTCCACCATAGATTTACAAGTAACTCTACTTCATACATTTACAAATAAATTTACTCCATATAATTACGAGTTACTTTACCCCATATGTTTACAAGTAACTTTACGCCATATATTTTCAAGTAACTTAAATCTTACCTCAGTATATTTCGTCACAAATTCAGGACCTTGGACCATGCCATCTCCATTCAGATCAAACCTGCATAAAACAAGAATGACCGATCATTGGTCAGTGTATGATGTAGAGTATGTAAAGGTTGCTTTCTCCATTCAGTTGGTACTATCTGAACTCTGATCTTATGGAATAGCATATTATTTGACTTGACATCAAACAAGATATCATGCACCATCAAATGCCGTGTACCCTCTAATGTCATGTCAAATCAACTGTCATGTCCCATTAAATGTTATATCCCATCCCTTATAATATTCCACAGAAACGTGTGCATCAGATAACGTTAGATCTGAACCTAGAAATTTATAATATGTTCATGAAAGTGTGACCTTAGACTTGAAATCTTCTGGGTAACAGAATGACATCACTTAACTTTCATTACAGGATGGACCACTAACAGGACATAATCTATATTTTGGTAGCGTCAACTGACACATTTTAATCTACATTATAGGAGGGACCACTGATTGGACATAAACTATATTTTGGTAGCGTCAACTGACATATTTTAATCTACATTATAGGAGGGACCACTGACTGGACATAAGCTATATTTTGGTAGCGTCAACTGACATATTTTAATCTACATTACAGCAGGGGCCACTGATAGTATTTAAACCAGGTCGTGCGAGAGACAACTGATACTTTTCTTCACAATAGTTCATGTTGAATCATTTAAATTTGTCCACTATTTACTTAACAAAAAATGAGATATGTACATATAATCGATTCGTTAAATTTGCAGCCTTCCAATTTACTTGCAATATTGTAGAATATCCCCCCCCCCCGTCTATCCAATGAATCTAACTCTTAGATCGTGCCCCCATGTTTTAACATCACGTGACATCATCTATTAGAACATTTCCGTCTGCAAGTCTGAGCTTGTTACAAAAAAAATGGGATTGCAACACAAGATTACAATTTTAACGTGAGTTTGCATCTTGACATGGGCTTCGTAACATAGGCTGTTGTGGCAGGTTTACCACAAACATTTTTATGACGTCATGAAACATACCATGTAGGTAATGCAACAGTTCATAGAGGTAAAACGTCATTAAACCAACCAGAATTGTATGACGTCATTACCACCGTTGTTATGGTTTCATAACGAAAAGAACAACAACGTTGTTATGACGTCATTTAAAATAAATCCAAGGAGTTTAGGACGTCATACGACCAACCAACAACATCGGTCTGAAAGCTGTAAGATAACATTTACCTGGCGAAGATGTTATTGTTGTCTGTTCTGTCGATCACTCCATTGCCATCGAGATCAGAGAGGAAGAAGTAGGCCTCGGACACCTCGGTGTCGTACTGTGTCAGGTCTCTCCAGACAGTGGTGAACTCAGTTTTACTGACGACGTTATCACCTGGGACAAACAACGGTCAGAACAAAACGTCAAACTACACATGTTCTATTCTGGTCTTATGGTAGGTCATGTGATTAACATAATATAAGGGTGCAGGGTGGCCGTGTGGTCTAAACTGAGCAAATTTAAAGTTGGTGGTCTGGAGTTCAGCAACCGGGTGGATGGGACCCGTTAGCCTTGGATGGCAACTCATCTAAGAGAAGGAAACTCTGAAATCAAACCCGGAGCTGGAGTCCCGAAAGGCGGATAACATTGATAGAATAAAACATTCCGACAACTCCTGCGACGTCACTGGTGCCAAGCTGTATCATCCAATGATGTTCCCTTGGGTTATCCAAGGCGTGGAGAGAGGCGATTTGCTGTAAGGAACCAGCTTATGATCCTTGAAGAATAATCCCAGGCCTTGTCGATTTTGTCCCCCGAAGCCCACTCCATCGTCACATTGTGATGGACGGATGCCAGCAAAAAACCAAAAAACAACCAATCCCTAATATACAATTTGCTTCTGGTGTGTCTGTTTCAATTTCAAAACGACCTTCCCCCAATATGTTAAATATTAATAGCAGGTCCACTAAGCGGGGTGGGGGAGGTGGAAAACTGTCAACAAGCGTACGTCATGCGTTTACGCTTGAACTCAGGAGAAAGGGTTGAATTGAGTTCGGAGGCGATTATATTAGTAATCAATCAATAACGAGCGACGGGCATGGTGTAGAACTGCCCTATTGTTTAAATGCCGGTGGTTAGGTTGTAGGACTTCTGTAGGACTATTCTTTAAAGGCCGGCAGATAGGATGTAAGAAAACATCCTGCTGTTTATAGAAAACGAGAAGTTAACCCTTTTTTTAATAACACTTAGACCCACCGGATATTCTCGCAAAATATCCCGATCCATTGTAAAAAGATGCTATCTTATTTTTCTACATCATTACGTATAATCACTACACCAAAGCATGCAAAAGATACTTTTTATGTACGTCTGGTACACATAATTATTTATCATATTTAATATGAATTATATGCCCCCCCTCAATTTTTCAGTTCTATAATAAACAATTTATGTCATATAATGTTAGTTCTACAACAAACAATGTATACAATATAATGTTACGTTCTTATAATAAACAATTTATGCCATATAATGTTACGTTCTATAACAAACATGTATGCCATATAATGTTACGTTCTATAACAAACAATTTATGCCATATAATGTTACGTTCTATAACAAACAATTTATGCCATATAATGTTACGTTCTATAACAAACAATTTATGCCATATAATGTTACGTTCTATAACAAACATGTATGTCATATAATGTTACGTTCTATAACGAACAATTTATGCCATATAATGTTACGTTCTATAACAAACAATTTATGCCATATAATGTTACGTTCTATAACAAACAATTCATGCCATATAATGTTACGTTCTATCACAAACATGTATGCCATATAATGTTACGTTCTATAAAAAACAATTTATGCCATATAATGGTACGTTCTATAACAAACATGTATGCCATATAATGTTACGTTCTATAACAAACATGTATGCCGTATAATGTTACGTACGATCTGTGTCCATAAACTCATAAATCCTAGACAGCTCCAGCGGTGTGATCATGCCGTCCACGTTCTCATCAGCCTTCATGTATAAAATATTGATGAGTCCCATCATGTCGAGATTCCTGGATTCACAGTGAATTTTATAATTTATTTTTAGATTTAAGAATTGTAATTTTAAAACATAATTTTCATCTTCTTGTAAACATAAACTAGTTGTTTCTGATAACAAATTATCACTACTTAAATCTAGGTCAAACCTCTAAGCAATGTTCAAATATTGGTAAAAATATATAGATTTTTGTAATATTGATCATACTGTATTACAATTTGTTGAATAGAACTTTTATAAGATAATTTTTTTGCCTTATATTATCAGGAGTTAAAAACTGGAACACAAGTTTTGATTAAGAGGCGAAATCCGAATTCTATACTTTGATAAACAGATTGTCATATTTTGGGGGCGAAACGTTCCTAAAACTGATTGATTAAAATATCAAATCTGGTGATGTCTACTTACTCATTTTGTCCGTCCACCACCCCCAAAATCAAGAGAAAACCAACAACCAATGTGGTGCATATCTGGCATAATGAAAGAGTGCAATAACTATAATATGTTAACATTATGAAAAACGTTTCTTTAGACCTCATTTATAAAATACGGAGATATATTTATTTAAAGTTTATAAATTTGTGTTTATTCCTGAACTAGAGACACATAAGCTTAAAGCAAGTATAATAAAGGGGAATATAAAGGAGAATAGATTCTTGCAAGGTTTATTTTGATGCTAAATTCCCCCCCCCCACCCACCTCCTTGAATATTTAAAAAAAAGCTCTTGATGTGGGGTGTATCATTTATTTTCATTACAGCTGTCTTCTCGTTACAAATGCCACGAACATTAGTTTGTCGGCTATCCATTATGTCGGTATGATCACATGAGTTTGCAGGTCATATTTTGGCTAATTGTCTGTGTTGGCCATATATTGGCTACCTGTCTGATGTATTCTAAAACTATTTATTGATTTTAAATTGTGTACATTTGAATGTCGATGATATACTCTGAGAACTGAACTAACGTGTTTATAAGTACATGTCACAAAACTCAGTCAAATAACGATCACAATTTTCACACTACTTTCCCTACTTAGATTGAATACTTACCATTTCCACGTACCAGTCGTGTTGCCAATGATGAAAAATTGCACAAAATAGAAAAGGAAATAGGTCATAGGTCTTTAATTTATATTATAAGTTGTGGCAATTTTAATCTATTTAAAATGATTTACCTCAGATAAAATTCCGATGACGCTATTCTAGATTAGAGCACATTGAACTCTACAACCCAAAGCCGTAGACACCTTCTGGTTCATTTCTTAATATTAATTATGCCTGCAGGTGCGTTCATGGTTATGAAAAAAAAAATAAATAGTAGGAGATAACCAGACAATTAAAAAGTAAAAGACATCTATTTTAACATACTTGCAGATAAGACGCAGTAGTAAGTCAGCAGTATTTTCTATTTAATCTACGATAAGACACCCCCTCTCCCCCCCCCCCAAAAAAAAAAGCAACAACAAAAAACACCGGCCTTTTAATCTTTGAATCTGTTCAAGTACGCCGTGTTAACAAAATATGGATAATTCGATTAAATACTTTACAACTTAATGATGTACAGCCTCAGTGTATTTCTGTAGGGACCAAATGATATGAAATTTTTGACCAACATTCAAACTAAATAATTAAGCAGAGTGCAGATGTATCATAGCATCCCACGTCTTCTTTTCTGCGTTAATCGCGTCTTTGATTTGACCATTAAATGGATCAAATATCAAATATTAGAAGTTAGAAATTTCTGATATCAATAGTCAAGACCACTTCTATGTATTATTTCTAAATCTTATAAAACAATAAATGCTTGGAAGCACCTGGACAATGCCGCTGTAGACTCGACATCAATCGAGAGTTTCAAGGCTGCCCTGGCATCCGCTAGGAGCCGATAGGATGGCCGCATCGTTTCATCAACCGTTACACATATACTAGTACATGGATCCAGCACCGTATCAGACCAGAACCATAAAAGTAAAGATTGTGTAAAAATATCCCGAAAATTCTAATAAGTACCGTGATCTCGGCGCCTCATTTCCATATTTGGTTGATGTATTTAATTATTGCACGCCGACAAACGTAGATTGGGTTATGTTCCTTTCATTACCGATTCCAAACACATGTCATAACATACGTCATATGACGATAACCTTTGAAACAGAAAGAAAATAGTTTTTTTTTGAGATAACATAATATCTGAGGTTATATACGTTTCTTGTGTGGAGCAATTGCAGTAACAAAAGAAACACTTCTATTCCAAATATTGTATTATGTTTTAGTTTAAAAAAAAATTCATGCAAGGTAGATAACGAGAAATATTATAATAGATTATTATATTTAAAGATTACCTCCCTTCATCACAATACCTCATTTATAGCCTTAAAAATGAACTTATTTATAGATGTTGAAATAAACTTCATTTATAGACGTTAAAATAAACCTTATTTATTGACGTTAAAATAAACCTTATTTATTGAAGTTAAAATAAACCTTATTTATGAACATTAAAATAAACCTTATTTATAGAAGTTAAAATAAACCTCATTTATAGACGTTAAAATAAACCTTATTTATAGACAATAAAATAGAACTTATTTATAGACGTTAAAATAAATCTCATTTATAGACGTTAAAATAAACATTTTTATAGACTTTAAAATAAATCTCATTTATAGACGTTAAAAAAAAATTTTTTTATAGACGTTAAAATAAACCTCATTTATAGACGTTAAAATAAACCTTATTTATAGACGTTAAAATAAACCTCATTTATAGACGTTAGAATAAACCTTATTTATAGACGCTAAACTAAACAGTGTTTACAGACGTTAAAATAAACCTTATTTATTGAAGTTGAAATCAAACTTTTTTTATAGACGTTAAAATAGATCTTATTTATTTCTGAATCGTTAAATTTTGTTTGTCATAAGCTTCTCTAGAGAGTGTTAAGAAGTTGTTTGGAGATGTCAAACATGGCTCAGATATTTCTGACAGGAGATGTCAAACATGGCTCAGATATTTCTGACATGGTTCCAATTGTCTGAGAATGTTCAGAAATTTTGACCAAATACTGCATCGGCTGTTACAAAACTTCAGCTGCATCGGCTGTTACAACACTTCAGCTGCATCGGCTGTTACAACACTTCAGCTGCATCGGCTGTTACAACACTTCAGCTGCATCGGCTGTTACAACACTTCAGCTGCATCGGCTGTTACAACACTTCAGCTGCATCGGCTGTTACAACACTTCAGCTGCATCGGCTGTTACAACACTTCAGCTGCATTGGCGGTGACAACACTTCAGCTGCATCGGCTGTTACAACACTTCAGCTGCATTGGCGGTGACAACACTTCAGCTGCATCGGCTGTTACAACACTTCAGCTACATCGGCTGTTACAACACTTCAGCTGAATCGGCTGTTACAACACTTCAGCTGCATCGGCTGTTACAACACTTCAGCTGAATCGGCTGTTACAACACTTCAGCTTTGTTTTCGTTTACACAATCTTGGATTATTCACATTTATTGCGACTTAGGAATAAATTACGGAGTAACTTCAATGATCACAGCTCCTGTTATTAGTATCATTTTTTGTATTTCCCTCTCTCTTTTTCTCTGTCTCTCTCTCTGCCCCTCTTTCTCTCTCTCTGTCTCTCTGTCTTTCATTCTCTGTGTCTGAGGGAGATTTTGATTTAATCAAATTTGATGAAATGTGTATGTTATGGTCATGTTCCAAAGTTTGTAACTAACACATTATAAATACATGAACTATCAAACATTGTCTGTGAGGCAAGTGAGCAGCTTCAGTTTCAAACTAGTTACTATTACATAATGGATAACTTAAGGGGGTTGTTAGTGGGACGATATAAAAGTGATATAATATGTGTTTGTGTGTTACGGGCTGAACTCTGGAGAACTCGACGCAGGCAGTATATAGAATAGTTACGCTTCTACTGGTACTAATTTTGATTGGTGATTATATTTTTTGTTGGGTTTTTTGGGTTTTTTTTTTTTTGGGGGGGGGGGGGGGGGGGGGTGAAGTGGGCGAAGACCCGCATTTAATACGGACGCGATTTTGTTCACGTTAAGATTAGCAAGTGAACAAAGTTGGAAGTCAGTCTTTGGAAGTCAGCTTTTGGAAGTCAGCATTTGACGGTCATTTTTTGGGAGATTCATTTGAAAGTCAGCCAAAGGAAGTCAGCCTTTTGAAGTCAGTCTTTGAAAGTAAGCTTGGAAGCAAGACTTTGAACGTCAGTCTTTGGAAGTTCAACTTTGGAATTCAGCCTTTGGAAGTCAATCTTTGGAAGTCAGTCTTTAGAATCCAGACTTTGGAAGTGACCCTTTGGAAGTCAGCCTTTAGAAGTAAGACTTTGGAAGTCGGTCTTTGAAAGTCAGACTTTGGAAGTCAGCATTTGAAATTCAGTCTTTGGAAGATAGCATTATACAGAAAGCCTTTGGAAGTCAACCTTTGGAAGTCAGCATTTGGAATTCATTTTGAAAGTTAGCTTGGAAGTCAGCCGTAGGAAGTCAGCCTTTGGAGGACATCATTTGGAAGTCAGCCTTCGAATCAACTGATACACTCCTCGTTGCATACTGTTAGCCACGTCACTGTTTGGTCCAAAGTACATAGCAGGTGAGGGTATACTTGTCATATTTTTTTTCTGGGTCATATTTCCATTTATGGAGGAGTTGTTCAACTGCTTGGGTAACAGTTGGGTGAAAGCTTTTAATTATTTCTCAGTTATTCTCATAATAATCTGTTAAAAGTACTCTCGTAACCTAAATCTTGGATCTCCATTGCCCAGGTCCAGAAACGTTGTCTCGGCACCCTGGTCGATTGGATTTTGTGACCCGTTTCTAATCAGAATTGAAATACAAGTTAAGTTTCCCTGTCCATGTTAGTTCTTCTCGTAAATATTAATTTCAATACTTGGTTAATAAAAATGTCTATATTTATAGTAACTAACCTTAAAACGATGTATACATAATTAATACAGTTTTAAGCTTGTATTGCTCAAAGGTCATTTATCTCGAAATAAGTACAGGTGTAAATATAGACTTTACATAAGACACAAGGTCCAAAGTACCTGAACGTGTTATTCCCATCCAGATTTCTTACAGAAAGACTGCTACGGGCATTTGAGAGCTAAATATATTATCAGTAATCGGTAACTGAGAATCGCCAAATTTGCCCGAGAGCACAAAAACATTAAGGGACGCCACATGAGCCCAAATAAAAATCTTAAGAATTAAGAAAGGGTAAGAAAGGGGTGAGACTGAGATCAGGTTACGTAAACGGAAATGAATGAACCAAAGTAAGAGAAAGCCTTTAAAAAAAAAGAACGCAACAAAACAATGAACGTGTCGGCAAGAAGCCTTCTTCAGCGAAAGAACAATAGTAAAAACGTTAAAAATAAAAATAATAAAAATCCCTTGAATGAAATATAGTTGTTACGTAATGGTACAAGTTTTTATCGTATTAATATGCTAAGCAAACATCAGAACAATCACACTTACATACAATGTCAGTCTCTCTTTCACACACATCTATTAAATGTATATGACTACTTTCCTTCTATAATGATTATATCAACACAGGGGGTTCAGCCCACGATTATAAATATTAATAACAAGTATAATAATTAGATACACATATAGACAATAGAAATACCAGCTACGTATACTTTATAATACTGTAGAGAACCTTCACTTGTCTATGCTCTGTTTCTTTTCTTTAACTACATTATCTGGGTGATCACCTCATTCCCTCTGTCTCTCGTAATGCAACAATTAGTTAATAACACGTTGGTGTTCAGCCTTTCACTTGAATGATCCGCTATACTTTTTATGCTCAAGAATTTGGAACTCTTTTCGAACTGTCCCAGTTCGTCACTCTCTTTACTGTGTTCTCACAAATGTCCTCTACTCCTATCTGGTGGAGCTCTACCTCCAAACTGTCGTCTTTCCTGTCCAGCTAAGGTCTCACTTTGTCCCGTCTAACGGTCCCCTTTTGTAAGATCACGAATTGGTCGCATAGTCTTTAAAGCGCTTCCTTTACAGGGCTAATTTATTACTAAATATCTGCACTAAAATTAAATTACCTCTTCCTTCGGGTAAACTTTACTATTTGTACAAACCACCCATAGTCACAATGATAAAAAAAAGGCAGAATACGCTGGGCAGGTCATGTTGAAAGGATGCCGGAATGCAGAGCACCCAAAAATATATACAGGCAGAAGCCTAGGGGCAGACGACTCATCGGTCGCCCAAGGATGAGGTGGATTGATGATGTGGAGACGGAGACGGAAAGCCATGGATCGTTCCGAATGGAAGGACGTGGTGGAGCAGGCCAGGGCCCTACATGGGCTGTAGTGCCATTGATGATGATGATGCTTCCGTGTAAATTGACATGAACTAGCCAGTCTTGCATTCGAATTCCTTGATTTATACTACTGTCACCGTCAAAGTCGTGCTTTATTCGTCCGTCTGCATGTTGATACGCTACGACAATTGGTCAATCTTCGTACTGTGGGTTTACACCGCCCCTGTACCAACCAGGTCGATTACCCAGGTCTGGACTCTCCGCAATACTTCTTACTAACTAAATTACTTAAGAAAATCAGCGGACACCGAGCCAGGGCTCGTATGGTCCTCCCCAACGCACCACCGTAGATGGGAGAGAGAGGTTGCCTAGGAGCAGTGCCCTCAAGACTGAATGGTTACTAAATACTAGATTACGATCGGCTGGTGCTGAATTATGTCTGGTTCTTAGGTCGGGCTCCCGTTTCGGTAGTCCCCACATCACACAGAATTAGTATTGTTTGCCCTCTCGTCCGGCCGTTGCGGTACTGGGACGCAGTAGGTCTAACGGCTTGGCAACCACGGTCTGTGTTGCTTGTGGGAGTCCAGGGTTATCTCCCTTAAGATCAATCTACGCCATTCCTAAAGACCTTTCTACTTTACAGTTTGCTGTTGTCTTTTGACTATGGGAAAACTTGGAAATATTTAGCAAAGGTAATAATTTCACGTAAGTTGATTATTACATATATTTTGTTTTATTTGAGTTCAACATATAAAATGTTGTCAGCCGTGCTATTTTGTGATGGAAAACTTTTTTTTTAAAAATTCATTTATTAATTATGTAGTGAAAACCTAAAAATGTTGAAATAAAAAATGAAAGCCACATTACTAATTAGTACTAGAGAAAAAAAATATTTGGATAACAAAATTAGGTAAAGCAGAGCGTTCGCTCAACTTGTCGTGATCCTAAAAGCGTAGCTAATATTAGTGTCACAATGGGGGCCAACTATTTTGGCCGCTCTTCCTTTTACGATACAGACTGTGCAGTTGTCCGAAAATGCCGAACCTCCGTATCAATAATAATTGATACCTTGGTGAGCAATCTCATCCTCTTCCTTATTACACCGCTGGAAGGGGCGGAGCTAGAGTATTTGGCGTCAGGGGAAGTTATATATTTTTACGCCTCCCCTTTTAAATCTGAAACTAATTATTTTCCAATAATACCACTCAAGCAAATGTTGGTGCCTCTATAGTCTGGTTCTTCGGGATGTATGTTCCGTTTGACACTCCATAGCTACGCATCTGGCCNCCCCCCCCGTAAAAAATGTTTGAAAGAAACACTGCAAAGAGAACAGTCCCTTATCTGAAAACCACCTTAGGACAGGAAATGTGTTGAGTCATGATGAAATAAAGAAGAATCCTTGGCGTCGAGATTAGGGAAACTTTGTGATAAAGAATGACGATAACATAGGAATTTTCATTACTTTATGAGTTTTAAATCGGAGCTTGAGATTTGTCCAAATATACAAGCCACCTTCGACACCGTCTCCAGGACACATTAAACAGATACTTGAACTATGTGGGTCAAATCTACAGGGAACGCCGTTTAGTCATATCACCCGCTGACATTACTTGGAATCATTTCACTGGATCGGGAAGTTCTAGTCAGAGTTAAAAAAAAAATTCTAACGGAAATAGCAACATTCCGATTACGTGACGTATGTTCAAAAAATAAGTACGCAAATCTTAAAAAAAATACAAAGCCTAAAATACACACCAATCAGAATGTTGTATTAATATGGCATTAGTTTAAAGGCATTATGTAACACACTAACTATACTGGCGTGTTTCAAGAGGCCGTAAATGTAGATCAGTATCACACGACACCAGTTTCACATCAACAGGTAAGGAGATCCTAGAAGGTAGTTTTGTTTTGGTTATTTTCATGGCTTCTCCTCCCACTTGGACCTATTCGTTCTTCTGTCTCTTACAACCAACTCTCGTTATCTTTAATAATCACTCTTTTAAAATATGTGTTATAATATTTGCACCTCTCTATATCGCCATTTTATTTATCTCTACATATTTAAATGTTACATGCATAATTTAAACATAGAGATGTCGTCCAGGTAGTAGGTGAGCTGATTCTGGACGTTGATGCAGACAGTAGTTTTCGGTTGCAAACATGAAAATATGGTCATTCGAAGAAGAACGAAGAAGTGACAATTATAATGAATTGGGCCCTGGTTCTTGTTTGAACTTTGTAAAAGGAATGGCTGACGGTTACATTGCACTCAATATGAGATGCACTGATATGACCACTCAATAATGTACACACATTTCATACTAACTCCCAATTACGGATCAATTATCACTGTTGTATGTTAATATTTGATAATCATAGCTGAATACTTTTATTAACAACATTTTGAAAATATTAACATCTAGAATTAATAGGCTATGCCAAAGATGCAAGTTGAATGATTCCTAATTAGGTGTCGGTTATGGTATAAAGAAAGGCCGTGGTCGCATACGGAAGTACATATATAAATATGGATGTTAAATATTGTCCTCAATAATCTATGTATACATAAGCCAAATACTCATTTTTTTTATTACGAGATCTTAAAAGCAACAAGAATAACTCTTCTTAATATATAAAAGCAAATGACTCTTGAAAAGTAGAAAATTTTATTATGATTTTGATTTTAATGTTACTCAAAAATTACATTTTGAAGGGTGTTTTTAAAATGGAGCTCATTGCAGTTGACATTATCATGGTGCATAAACTAGGAGTGCCTTTGGGTAGACAGAGTCATGGTGCAGACACTTGTGCCTGTGGGTTGACAGAATCATGGTGCAGACACTTGTGCCTGTGGGTTGACAGAATCATGGTGCAGACACTTGTGCTTGTGGGTTGACAGAATCAAGGTGCAGACACTTGTGCCTGTGGGTTGACAGAATCATGATGCAGACACTTGTGCCTGTGGGTTGACAGAGTCAAGGTGCAGACACTTGTGCCTGTGGGTTGACAGAATCAATGTGCAGACACTTGTGCCTGTGGGTTGACAGAATCAAGGTGAAGAAACTTGTGCCTGTGGGTTGACAGAATCATCATGCAGACACTTGTGCCTGTGGTTTGACAGAATCATGATGCAGACACTTGTGTCTGTGGGTTGACAGAATCATGATGCAGACACTTGTGCCTGTGGGTTGACAGAATCATGATGTAGACACTTGTGCCTGTGGGTTGACAAAATCATGATGCAGACACTTGTGCCTGTGGGTTGACAGAATCATGATGCAGACACTTGTGCCTGTGGGTTGACAGAATCATGATGCAGACACTTGTGCCTGTGGGTTGACAGAATCATGATGTAGACACTTGTGCCTGTGAAGGGAGACGAATCGTGTTTTACGGCACGTACGGCACTGACTCATTTTGATTCTCGTGTACATCACTGACTCATGTGCTTCTCATGTACGCACTTACTCGTGCGTTTCTCGTGTACAGTACTGACTAGTATTCAGGGTAGGAGAACTATCTCCAGATAAGCATTTAGGTGGTTCAGAAGGACTCGGGCCAAGATCTTGCAAGAGATGGACAACAGTGAAATTTCGCGGTGATTGTCGCAGGCCTGGCGGTTTCCTTTGTATTTGTACAGGTGAATAATTGAGGCATCTTTGAGGTCTTGTGGTACAGTTGCCGTCTGCCATATTATCTGATTGAAGTTCGCACTAGTTGCCACCATTTTATTCAATTTTGAATTAGCCGACAATGTGAAGCCGTGCTTGAAATGTCACACTTATTGTCGCTGTTGCGAACTTTCTTATTCAAGGTCGAGTTCACCAAGTCGCAAACTGCCCAGTATTGAACAGGTAGTTTGATATGATCCAGTTGTTGTCCACGGAACAACTCTGTACAACGAATCCTTTCATACACAATGCAAGACGATAAGAAGTAAAAACGCCATGTGAAAATAACAACGTTAAATACACAATGAAAGAACAATGGATACATAAGTTGCTGTACGGAAGCATAGTGCAAATAATAGCTTTTACTTGAAGATAAGCAAGGTTTGTAGTTTGTGGAAATTTGAATCAAGTACTCACTACAATCACATAAAGATAGTTTCTCTTATTTCAGTGTGACTATTCAATTATACCTAAAGGTCTTCAATTGGTAGTTATCTTCCAATTGTCATTCAATTGGTTAATTCTTTTAAAGGATCAAATCAGTTCAATAATTATTAATATAGTTTAATTGAAACAGTTAAAGATAGATCTACGGTTTATTTTCTGTATGTCAGGTATTTCTGTATGTCAGGTATTTCTGTATGTCAGGTATTTCTGTATGTCAGGTATTTCTGTATGTCAGATATTTCTGTATGTCAGGTATTTCTGTATGTCATATATTTCTGTATGTCAGGTATTTCTGTATGTCAGGTATTTCTGTATGTCAGGTATTTCTGTATGTCAGGTATTTCTGTATGTCAGATATTTCTGTATGTCAGGTATTTCTGTATGTCAGGTATTTCTCTGTTTCAGATATTTCTGTATGTCAGGTATTTCTGTATGTCAGGTATTTTTGTATGTCAGGTATTTCTGAATGTCAGATATTTCTGTATGTCAGGTATTTCTGTATGTCAGGTATTTCTGTATGTCAGGTATTTCTGTATGTCAGATATTTCTATATGTCAGGTATTTCTGTATGTCATTTATTTCTGTATGTCAGATATTTCTGTATGTCAGGTATTTCTGTATGTCAGATATTTCTTTATGTCAGGTATTTCTGTATGTCAGATATTTCTGTATGTCAGGTATTTCTGTATTTCAGGTATTTCTGTATGTCATATATTTCTGTATGTCAGGTATTTCTGTATGTCAGATATTTCTGTATGTCAGGTATTTCTGTATGTCAGATATTTCTGTATGTCAGGTATTTCTGTATGTCAGATATTTCTGTATGTCCCGTATTTCTGTATGTCAGGTATTTCTGTATGTCAGATATTTCTGTATGTCAGGTATTTCTGTATGTCAGATATTTCTGTATGTCAGGTATTTCTGTGTGTCAGGTATATTATAAAAAGAACAGTTTTTGTCTAAGAGAATAAATCGTTAATTGTGCGTTTCAATATAATTGTTAACATTTGTAAATTTAAAAAAATATCCAATTTGTGATTTTATTGAAAAATGGAATAAAACATAAGTAACATTTTTTTTTTTTCGTTTTAACCTCTAATTTTTGAGTTGTAATAAAAACTTCAAGCCATTAAAAAAATCCTTTAATGTAGTTTCCATTCTCATAATTGAAAACTTAATGGTCATTAAGTTTATATAATAAAAAAATGTAAATCTTAAATTCATTTTTCAATATCATACAGGAAAAATAGTGAATAGCTAAGCTCCACTTCGCTAATATTGATGTTGTATTTGCTTAGCTTTTCAGTATGTGAATAAGATTAATCGTGCGTAGCTGGAATAGCCAAGGATCTCTCGTACAATGCAAATGTATATCACGTCAGCGACACACCTCTGTCGCTGCAAACTGTCATATCACCTTTATGGACCAAAGGCCATTTTTATAACTTCTTTATAAATTCGACAAAATAAATTCTTGATACCATTAATAATGTAGCGTCACCTTTGATAGGGGGAAATCCATATATTACACAAACCTAGGGGGGGGGGAAGAAAGGGGGATAAAGGTAAGGGGACATGGATTGTGTGCATATTGGCATAAGGGATGGTTTGGGGCGGGCGAAAAAAGGGGGGAGGGTATTTCTACGAAGTGTAAGTAAGTTTAAGCACACATCCTACAATAATGATCATGCAACTGTAAAAGTCAATAGTTAGCATGTTTATAACCCTACATTTATAACTAGTCGGTGCTCGCCGTAGCTTACGACAGTGTAAAAATATAGCTTAACCGAATGCAGTTTTCTTTATTACACCGGCCCGGGTATTTAGAGAAATACCCGGTGTGCTCAAGTGTTACATATATATGCCGGCCTCTACGATATAGGCATAAGGACAGTCTTACACCCTTCCTGCTGACCTTTAAACAACACTCATACAGTCAGATCTACATACATGTCTTCAGATAGTCCTACAAAATTCCTACAAACATTCCTACATACAGTCCTACAGACAGCCCTAAAGATAGTCCTAAAGACAGTCCAACACAATACCCGTGGCTCTTAATTGATTAATATAATAGTCACCTGATTATAAAACCTTCTTAACCTTGGTTCAACCGTCACGCATGACGCTCACTGCGTGACAGCTTGGTTTTTGTTTACTTAGTACTATTACTATAAAACAATGTGTGGGACTATAGGACTGCACTGGACACTGACTGGACACTGACTTGATACTGACACGACACTGACAAAACACTGACACAACACTGACACAACACTGACACAACACTGACACAACACTGACACAACACTGACACAACACTGACTCGACACTGACAAGAAATTTACACAAAACTGACACGTCACTTACACGATACTGAAACGACACTAACTCAACACTGACACAACGATGACTCGACACTGCCACTACACTTACTCGAAACTAACACGACACGTACACGACATTGGCACGACACTTACGCGAGACTGAGAAGACTCCAACTCGACACTGACTCGACCCTTAAATGACACTTACACGACACTGACACGATCCTGAAACGACCTGCATAACACTGACCCGACACTAGCAGGACACTGTACGACACTGACACGACACCTACACGAAACTGACACGACACTTACACGACAATGACTCGACACTGACACAACACTTACGCAATACTGACACGACACCGACTCGCCACTGACTAGATATTGACACGACATTGACACGACACTGACTCGACATTTACATGACACTCACACGACACTGATACCACACTGATACGACACTGACACGACACCGACTCGACACTGACTCGACATTTACATTTCACACGACACTGAAATGATAATGACATGACACTAACATGACACTGACACGATACTGACACGACGCCCACGACACTAACATGACCCTGAATTGACATTGACAGTTGTTATAAATGAACAAGACGCCAAGTGTGGTAAGAAGTAATCTTGTGGGAATTTTACTAGAGTTACGACACATAAAAATAGGGCTTTGCTGGAGCAGAGGAGAACTCAGAGAGCAGAGAGAGAAAGAGAGAGAGAGAGAAGGGGGTACAGACAGAGAGGGACAGACAGAGATCGGGAAGACAGAGAGAGCTCACTGGGAGAGAAGTAGAGGACTGTCAGGGTAGAGAACTAAGTCATACGTCGTAGAGCTCAGTCGGACAATGGATACGGTATATTAGAGACCCAACAATGAAGTTGACGGATCGAACAAATTATAGGAGTAGAGAAGAGCCATTACAGTCAGAGCTGAGTTTTGAAGTATTGAGTGATATTGAAAGCACTTGTAGAAGAACGATCAACAGAAAGACCATAACCATCGACGTTTCGTCTGTTGCCTGAATTTTGCAGTGACATTGACAAATAAAGCAACTGAAGTATTATAGACATGAAAAGGGGGAAGGTCCTCCAGAACAGCGCCTCCAGAACCGTAAAGTTTGGCGGACCCGTAGACAAGTTTGCTGGACCCATGGACAAGTTTGATGGACCGGTGGACAAGTTTACACCAGTGACCGGTGCCAGATTCATTCATTCTTCTTCTTTTTATTTGACCTTAGAAATGATATAAGATATATGTTTTTTTTTAAAATCTGTAAGCTGTCAATTCTATTGGGCTCATTAACTATTACCATCTATTGTCATTTATGGCAAGCCCGCACCCACTTTGCGGCCCGCCAAAATAACGAAATATTCTTTTTTTTTAATCATTTCCTGAATAGCTTTATCCCCCGTTCTACTTTCGTTCGACCCGCACAAGTTGATCATAAAGTTTTACGGCCCGATATACATGTTGAGTTGTGCAGGTCTGATTTTTGGGATTATAGCAACTGAGTTTTGTCATTGGAATGTTTTTTTTTTTAATCAACCTAGGGCATATAGGACCTAATAGACTAAATATTTAGACAAAAGTACGTCACCAATACAAAGCACATAGCAACAGCCACATAATTATACTTCACGCTAAAACATCCATCATTTGAACAAATCTAGTGACACCCTTCTGCTTTCCTCTTGGGTTACGTGGATTAATTTGCCATGGGCAACTATTATGTGTTATCTGGCATCCCAACCCCCCCCCCCACCACACACACAAGCTTACACACACGAACGCGCAAACACACACACACACTTTTTACGTAGAATCATTGGCTAGGGTGGCCAGTTTAGGCATGACCTTGAAACGGAAAAAAAACAACAACATTTATTTAATTGGTTTGGCCTTGTTTGTGATTTTGAATACTTGAAATTGTTTTTCGGCTAAAATTTGTTGTTAAAAAAAAAAAAGGCAGGCGTTTAGTATAACATTTGGGGCCACTACTTATCTTTACAGGCGTGCATTCTGTGACATACATTAATAATAATAATAATAAAGATAATTTGAAAATCACGCTTCATCCCCAAAGGCTCGAAGCGCGGTACATACCAAATTGAAGTACAAAATGCAACATTACAAAAACTACATACGAGAATACCCAATCTATGTCTTTCATACCTTTTAACCATAAACAACACAGGTCAATATACATCTACAAGATAATAGCTTGATAGACAACATCACCCCAGCAGGTGTTTGCGAAATAGATAAGTCTTAAAATCAGTATTGAAAGACTCGAGTGTCTGGCTCTTTCTGAGAGCGACAGGAAGGGTGTTCCAAATTGTTGGGCCCACAAACGCAAAAGTGCACCCCTCGTAAGTCTCAAGGCGAACACGTGGTATCGAGAGTTTGCCCCTATTAAATGAGCGGCGTTGTCTAGTGGGTACATAAGGTACAATATAAAGAATTTTTGCAGAACTTATTATCCTAGTCTTGTCACTTCGCGTAGCCTAGGCACTTACAGTAATTATCAATATATCGCCTGCATTGTGCGACAGGGATTGGAATAGTTTTCAGGAGTTTGTTAACATTTGCTCCAAGTCATCCACATTGCGGACAATAAATATAATAATATAGCAGGGAACATTCGGATAACCAAAGTTTCGGATAACAGGAATTCGGAAAAAAAAAAAAAAGATCTCTACTGTATTTTTTAAAAACAAAATTAAACTGAGTAATGTGCAGATCTGAATGACGTACAGAAAGTTGAACTACATTGAAATTGTTCATACAAAATACATGAGAGTACAATTATACCACTGCCAACAGTTATAAGTTATATTATCAAATTAGTATGCATTAGGGTTTAATGCTATGAATTTCCTTAGTACTTTATAGATACCGTCTAGCAGGAGGCTTATAGTCCTATATTCTTCAAAAATATAATATGGAAGCCGAAATCAAAAGCTTAACAAGACTTTCGGCCGAAAACTGAAGCCGAAACCGAAATATTTAGATATTTTGAAATTCGTTCACGCATTCATTCTGCATACATCAAAAAATGATGGGGGAAAGTATCACTATTTACATTCGTTCCATAACAAATGAGATCTTTGTGAATATTAATAAATAAACATCTAATAAATACTTTAGCTTTTACCATTTTAATTAAAAAGTAATTTTAATTTCTTAGAAATGTATTTTAATGTAGTATGGTAAGAGAACACTTGGATCTGGGGAGGGAGAGCAAAATTCATGCAAAAAAAAAAAAGACCCTTGAGTGCCCTTTGCTTTTATAATATAATGACAACGCTACATAGACATATATCTACTATAATTATTATTTATCACCTAGATATTAGTTTTTAAGGCTTTAAAAATATCACCAAAATATTTCGGGGTTATCGTCATACGAATGCTAAGTGTTTTCATAAATAGCTGGCAAGATATCGCTCTATTAATATTTAGCCTTATACCAACACATACGCTTTTCCGTGCTGGTGACGTAATTATTTCGTTCGATGACCAACCTGCCTCCACTCCTTTGGTGGGAGGACAATTTTTTTTTTACCGTATCTCAGAAAATTGTTGTTCTGATGGGTCTCGACACCCAAAAAAAAATCGTAAATTTCTCTCAAAAAGTAAACTGTTCTGCAGTATGCCTACTACATAATTTGTGTACGAACCCGTGATACATGAACACGCGTGTTATTTTGGCAATAACAATGTTTTTGAGCATTTTAATGATACATTTCAAGAAATGAATGCATTGAAAAATACTAAATTTTCCACATTTTTACTTTTTAAAAAAAAAAAAAAAATTATTATGAAAACATTACTATTCCCTAAGATTATTCAACACTATTCGCATTTGTCTATGACAACTTTGGTGGGTATGATAATAATAAATCAAAATGAATATCACAAATGAATGAATTTAATAAACCAAGCGTTCCCAATTTTTATTTTAAAAAATTTAAATAAAAAATAATATAAATATTATCATTTCCCGTAGATTTTCTACCACAAAACTTTTTACATTCTTCTAGGCTTAATTGAAATTTAATTTATTGAAAATAAATGACAACTAGGTCATCAATCAGTTGTGAGCAGTTTTCGCACAGTATTAGTCATATAACATATGATGACAGCAAGAAGTCTAGCAATAATGATTATCGGATTGCGGGCCTAGAGACAAACAGTGTTTCTTTCAGAGAAATTTTCCGGGGGGGGGGGTGCATTTTAGATTTTCGGGGGAGGGGACATTTATAATGGAAATAAGGGTAGCTAAGGTGGACATAGGGGGCATATGTACCCCGGCGCCAGCTAACGGGCTAAACGGCTATAGTGTTAATGAATGAAAATAATTGGTTTCAGAGTTTAGCGGGGGTTGGGGGGGGGGAATAAATCTTGTCCCCTGGCACCAAAGACTTACGCTGGTGACGTAGAAAGGAGGCTAGAAAATATTTAAATATTTCGTCTTCCCGTGTTTCATTTTTTCTTTTGATTTAGCGGCAGGGTTTTTGGACAACTGCGGAGTTTCTATCGAGAAAGGTAGCGCGGAAAAAAAAGTTAACCTACCTAGAGTGGCGCTTAAAACTAGGCACGCCGCTGGGCAGTGTACATATCAGCACCAAAATTGGTTGTCCGGGCAAGCAATAGTTCCATTTTTAACGGGAAGTACTGCGGAACTCGAGCACCCGATGGCTTTACCTAACAAGAAAATTTGTGATTGTTTAACAATCAATGGGTTAATTTTGAAGTATACATGATATACTCCAGAAGACTATTATTGAACAGGAAAAATAATTTTTCAAGCGTCAGTGGAGGCATTATGGCACCCAGTGCCATACGTAAACTAAATTCATTCTGGTTGTGGTGCGCCCAAAATAATAATTGGACACAGAATTAGATTCAACCCCTTAAAGTCACATTGATCGACATTAAGGAAGGGAGTAGCACAAATTGAGGAATGAGAAGAGTCTTGAGCAAAAACGAAGGCAGGGGTCCCCTTAATTTAAAAATAATAAATTGAAAATGCATTGTGGTGCAAATTCAATGTATCTTTCAGACAATGTGTGAAGGGGAATTTCAGACTTTCATTTATTTACTTTTAGATGACTCGTTGAGAAATGCTAAGAATACAACATCAACATACACCAAATATATGTGGACTGCAAATCAATTTATGACAGTATATATAGGAAATACCTGTAGGATGCTCTCCTGGAACGTGGAGTCCCTAACAAACTTACCTGACTCATGCGTATGACGTTGGATAACTTTAAAAGTAGAATCAAAGTACAAAGAGAGTACTCGAGGGAATAAACAATTAATTAGGGCCTCAGACAAAGACATCCATGTATCCTTTTCAATATCACGTTATGAAAAGTCATTACGTGGAGTACCAGTGCACAACAACCATAAGGAATGTTATAAAACCAGCCACTGCAGTACCTGGTATACACAGATATAGCGCTACTTGGTACAAACAGCAATGATATAATTAAAGCTTTCAGGGAACTTGAAGATGTCACGGTCAAAGCTGGTCTCGATTTTCTATAATTTGCTTCAGATCAATTAAACTTGCCTCTTCGATATTATAATTTTTTTTACCTATTCCATAGAATTTATTTTTAACTAATACCAAAAAGGGCATTTGCAAGATAATCGAAAAACTAGATTTTAGAAAAAATACGTTGTTTAAATATATATATATATATATATATATATATATATATTTTTTCTATTTTATTATCATATAAAATTGAATTTAAAAAAAAAAAAAATTCAAAAATCTGGGGAAGATTGTTTCTTATTCTCAAATAGAACAGAGAAAAGTTATTTGGGAATTAATAAATAAAGGGTAAGTAATTTTTAAAAATAAACCATTTTACTCTGTTGTTCCCGAAACTGTGTTTAAAAATTAGAAGCACACTCGATTTAATAATAATTGATGAAATGTCCACTATTTGTATGCAACCGGTAAATGCCTAATGTTTTGTTTTAAAGTATCGTTTTTTGTGAGTGTTTTTTAATAGTTTTAATTTTATCTAACTCAATATACATGTATGGAATCTACTTCATTAAAATGTAAGCTGAAAACTAGTTTTTTAAAAAGCATGAGGCTAATTATATATTGTATAATTAACAGTCATCTCTACTTTAACTGTCATGTTTTTTTATGAAAAATTAATTGAAAACACATGGTAATTACTTAGCAATAACAATATTCAATTTATATACATTTAAAGCGATGTAAAGGTAATTTAATACAGTGCTATTAAAGTCTTTCAACTTGTGCAGCCGCAAAATATAAATACAGACAAATACCGAGAAATGCGAATAAGAAAAAGTATTATTTTGGCTTATTATCAGGACTGGCAAAGGTTGAAAACCATACGCTATTTATAATCGAATTCTGTGAGCCTGTAAGAAGATAAAAACGAGAACCAGGCCTACACAAATTATGGCCCGACCCGCCAGCAGCCGCTTTATTGCCCACGAGGTAACGAAATAATCTTTAGTCTTATTTTCTTAATATCTTTTTCCTTGTCCCATTTTCTTTGGGCCCTCACAAGTCCATTCCCATTTTCTTTTGGCCCACACAAGTCCATTCCCATTTTCTTTTGGTCCGCACAAGTCCATTCCCATTTTCTTTTGGTCCACACAAGTCCATTCCCATTTTCTTTTGGTCCACACAAGTCCATTCCCATTTTCTTTTGGTCCGCACAAGTCCATTCCCATTTTCTTTTGGTCCGCACAAGTCCATTCCCATTTTCTTTTGGCCCGCACAAGTCCATTCCCATTTTCTTTTGGTCCGCACAAGTCCATTCCCATTTTCTTTTGGTCCGCACAAGTCCATTCCCATTTTCTTTTGGTCCGCACAAGTCCATTCCCATTTTCTTTTGGTCCGCACAAGTCCATTCCCATTTTCTTTTGGTCCGCACAAGTCCATTCCCATTTTCTTTTGGTCCGCACAAGTCCATTCCCATTTACTTTTGGTCCGCACAAGTTTTTCATAAGGTATTACGGCCCGCCTTTCTTTTTGAGTTATGCAGGGCTGACAATATGGATCATCAATATATATCGATCAAAGCGATATTTTATTGATTCAATAAATTGTAATCGACAAAAAGAACACATTTATATTACTTTTGAACATGTAAAAAATATTTATTTTTTTTTATTAAAAATTATCAATTTTTATTAATATACCCGGACAGCCTTGCCGAGATGACCATAGCTTCTTGGCCACTTTGGCCATCATACACCGGGCCAGCTTTGCCGCGATGACCATAGCTTCTTGGCCACTTTGGCCATCATACACCAGGGCAGCTTTGCCGCGATGAACATAGCTTCTTGGCCACTTTGGCCATCATACACCAGGGCAGCTTTGCCGCGATGACCATAGCTTCTTGGTCACTTTGGCCATCATACACCAGGGCAGCTTTGCCGCAATGACCATAGCTTCTTGGTCACTTTGGCCATCATACACCAGGGCAGCTTTGCCGCGATGACCATAGCTTCTTGGTCACTTTGGCCATCATACACCAGGGCAGCTTTTCCGCGATGACCATAGCTTCTTGGCCACTTTGGCCATCATACACCAGGGCAGTTTGCCGCGATGACCATATTTTCTTGGTCACTTTGGCCATCATACACCAGGGCAGCTTTGCCGCGAAGATCATATCTTCTTGGTCACTTTGGCCATCATACACCAGGGCAGCTTTGCCGCGATGACCATATCTTCTTGGCCACTTTGGTCATCATACACACAATGTGACATTGACAAGGTTTGGTGATGTAGTGGATGGATCTTAAATATATTTTACATAAAAGGGACATGGGTAGGAATCGATGTTCACACCACAAATACCAACTAATACCACCATAAATGTTATTTGCTGTACACTTCGAATAATCCCATCCAGAGTATTACTATTCTTATTTTTGAACATCTCATTGTCTAGTTGTCAGAATAGTCGCCCATTTTACAGCTCGATCTATTTATATGTTCTTTATCTTCAGAATATCTTACTTGGATTCCCAGCCAGCCGACAGAACATGGCGGCTGTCACATCGTTACACATACCAGAGTGTCAAGACTCTGGTTGTAAGCCTCCTCTGCGTCAGCTGATGGCTGCCCTAGAAGCTAGTGGATTCAAAATAGCAAAGTACCCAATGAGTAGGTTTTATCCATTTTCTCATTACCACTTGTAAATTCTCAAGTAATTCTTAAGCCTCAGACTTCTTACACCCGAACATCTTCTCTTCAATCTACGATTTCATTCGTTCAAACTTCTCATTCACTTACCATTCTCCTCTCATTTTCCTACGAATCTCCTTTCATTCTTCTACCTTTCTCCTCTCATTCCCTTACCATTCTCCTCTCATTCCCCTATCATTCTCCTCTCATTCCCCTACCATTCTCCTCTCATTCCCCTACCATTCTCTTCTCATTATCCTTACATTCTCCTCTCATTCCCCTACCATTCTCACATTCTCCTCTCATTTTCCTTACATTCTCCTCTCATTATCCTTAAATTCTCCTCTCATTATCCTTACATTCTCCTCTCATTATCCTTACATTCTCCTCTCATTATCCTTACATTCTCCTCTCATTATCCTTACATTCTCCTCTCATTATCCTTACATTCTCCTCTTATTATGCTTACATTCTCCTCTCATTATCCTTACATTCTACTCTCATTATCCTTACATTCTCCTCTCATTATCCTTACATTCTCCTCTCATTATCCTTACATTCTCCTCTCATTATCCTTACATTCTCCTCTCATTATCCTTACATTCTCCTCTCATTATCCTTACACTCTCCTCTTATTCATCTACCGATATCTCCTTGATGTAAAACGAGCAGAAGAAACGAACCAAACTAATGATGCGATGCACAGATATTAATTGCAGAAATACCACTGGCGATGACTATTTTGTTTACCTCAGGTTGCACCACGGGTTGGGGGTGGGGGGTGGGTGGGACCTCATTTCTTATATGAGGTCTTTTAAAAGGGAACGGGAGATTCTAAATTCCAATGTTAATTTGAGGAAATACTTTCGTCATTACCATCCAAATCCAGAAGATATTTGGACATGTGCCCTTTGTCATTACCATCCAGATCCAGTAGACATTTGGACATGTGCCCTTTGTCATTACCATCGAGATCCAGTAGACATTTGGACATGTGCCCTTTGGCCCAATTTGAGTAATTAAAACTAAATGGATTGCAAACGAATTCGGCATGGCCATTCCTACTGGTGAAAAATATTATCTTGGAAAGATTGGTCACAATCACTTTTCCACAAACATTTTAAGAGTGCTATTATTATTATAATGTTAGATTTAGGAAATGGCTTGAAGCGGCAGTTCTATCATAGGTGTTCAATGTAAATTATAGTTTGTGCAAAAATTACCACGCGAAATATTCCAGATGGTAAAACTCAAACGTCTGACGATAGTTGAGTAGTTCCTTACAAGCCCTTTTTAACCTGGAGCATCAAACACAGTGTGCAGTGAAATATTGACTGATTACATTTCCAAAAGGTCCTAATTTGTCAAAGTATCATGCCAAATTGTGTTACTTGGTCCCGTCTGAGTATATATCTCATATCGAATTTTTAACCAACGTTTAAAAACTCTGTTCCCAGGCTCGACCCTTTAAGTTAGTGGTTCTCAACCTTTGGGGGTCGAACGAGCCTTTCACCGGGGTCACCTACGACCATCGGAAAACACATATACTCAACAGTTATGAAGTATCAACGACATATATTTTGTGGTTGGGGTTCATCACAACATGAGGAACTGTAACAAATGGTCTCGGCATTGGAAGTTGAGAGCCACCGCCTTAAGTATTAGCAACAATTAATGCTAAACTATGAATACTTCTTCTTCGTCGCGAGACTCATTTCCAACCACAGCTGCCCAATACAGCTTCCTTTTGACTCCTAATAATTAAACATTTCCACCTGTTATTTATCTCCTGTCTATAAATTAGTTTTGTTGATATAGAGATCCTCAGAATTCTATACGTTTTAAGCAGATTACAAAATGAATGAAGAGAAATGTAGCATTCGGCTGATCAAAATGGTCCAATATATATATATATATNATATATATATATATATATATATATATATATACATTTTAAAGACTGTAAATACATGTTTTTGTTTGTCTCTAGACGGCCTCTACAGTAATGAGTTCAACTCCCGCGTTAAAACATGTAGCTACACAATTCTACACAAATGCTTAAGTCTGTGGAGAAAGGTGAGACATTATGTTTGTCATTTATGTTTTAGACCATTTGAAGTGGAGAGTGTCATTTGTTGAATACATTTTTTAAAGGATGGCTTAACAACTTTGTATTTATCATGTTCATAACATCTGAACTATTTAATTAGTGAAGGGACAAAGCATGACTTTAAGTCTTTACCCAAATTTAACCATCGGCTAAAGGTTAAGGTACATTTTTTATAAGGTAATTTACAAATTCATTGTATGTAAAGTTATCATTAATCACGAAACTCAATGTGGAAATGACGATTTATTTTATCCACAGCTGATGATTAAAGGCAAGGGTATGGATGCTTCTGTATTGAAAGACTCAGATAAGATCCTTTGTGTTAATTTTCATTTCGGGCCTTCTGAAGTAGAAAAAAACCCGGAGAAATGCCCAGCTTTTGAAGATTTCTTTGAAGATTTTATGATACAAGACGTATCGGATGATTTAAAGTTAACTGAATTCGTTGATAATCTGAAAGTTAACTTTCAAGAAGAAATTAAAAAATGTGAGCCAGTTAGCGATTCTGAGATTTACTTTAAACCTGATATTCCTCCAAGACCATCACCTGAGTACCCCGTCTATCAATATCCTGTTTTGAAAAACACATATGAGAACAATCAATTCACAGAAAGACAGATCTTCGAGAAGTTGCACACTGTTCAACAGGAAGAGGCCAAACGAAGTATTGAAGGGAAGGGAAAACTGTTGCCGTATCCTGACATGTTTGGCACTGTTAGTAACCAGAGTGTTCAAGCCAGACATTATGATGAAACGTCTTTGTCAGATACACTTATTGTTTGTAAGTAAACTAATAAGGCAATGGTATTCAAAGAAATCTGGAAAGATTCGAGAAACATAGAATATTTGAAACTTGCGGACATATCAACAACTGACTCTAGCTGACATGTCAATATCTGACACTAGATGACATGTCATTATCTGACTCTATCTGAAATTTCATGATCTGATTCAACTAGCATGTCAATATCTGACTCTATCTGACGTGTCAATATCTGGCCCTAGCTGACATGTCCGCGAACATACAACAGAAAAAGACCGAATTAAATTAAAAATAGCACTTAGCTGAGAAGTAGTATACGTGAAGATCCCTGCCGCCACGTTCGTTGTTTTGTTCCGTTCCTTCTGACAGCTTTGACCTTACTTCTTCTTTGCTAACCCGATTGCAGTCTCTACACTTAAAATTACTTTTCATTTACTATATGTTACAATTAAATTTTAAAATACCAATATTTATATAGCTAGTTATGATATCATTAATTTTATTTAATTATAGAGGATTTAGTTTTTACAATACAATATTGGCTTAATGGATGGGTACGTTTGTTCCAGTCAATCAGCTGTCAACGTTTACAGAGATGAGAAATCTGATCAATCAAGTGTTGAAAAATCCCCAAAGTGCTCTGAGTAATGTCAAGTTTATTTTGCACAAGGTATTGCTTCAAATTACAAAAGATGCCTCATATGTGTATTGCATTTTTCACAAACACTAAAAAAGAACAAAGCTTTTATAGACGTGAAAAATGGTTTAGAAATTTTTAAAAAATGTCTTTTTGACGTGAGAATTCTATGCTTTTCCATTTTACAATAGTATAGTACAGAAGTGAGGCGAAAGGCTGGCTAAGTTTTCAATAAAGATACCAATATATAAAGATACTAATATATAAAGATACCAATATATAAAGATACCAATATATAAAGATACCAATATATAAAGATACCAATATATAAAGATACCAATATATAAAGATACCAATATATAAAGATACCAATATATAAAGATACCAATATATAAAGATACCAATATATAAAGATACCAATATATAAAGATACCAATATATAAAGATACCAATATATAAAGATACCAATATATAAAGATACCAATATATAAAGATACCAATATATAAAGATACCAATATATAAAGATACCAATATATCAAAATCAATAAATGTTAAAGATATATAAACTATTAAAGCATTTTTTTAAAAAATCTAACTTTGCGTATTAAAATGTGTTGAGTAGGCCTATAATACATAATACATAAATATGTCTTAAAACCAAATTATGTTTTAGAAACATAAACTAAAGCATATTGTCCTAAAGAATCAAATAGCGTAGCCTCCAATTCGTGATTTATTAGTTATTTTAGGCATTATTAAATTAAACTCCATATGTCGCTTGCACTTTGCTAAATTATAGGAAGTTGTTTAAATCTATAAATATACCTGTAAAACTTTTATTAGAATAACGTAGAGTAGGAGATTGATTTGACAAATGTAGATAAAAGAATCATTAAAATAATGTAGAGTAGTAGATTGATTTGACAATTATGGATATAAAAATCCTAAAAATAATATGTAGAGTAGGAGATTGATTAGACAGTAGTAGATATAAGAATGATTAAAATAATGCAGAGTAGGAGATTGATTTGACAATTGCAGATACAAGAATCATTAAAATAATGCAGAGTAGGAGATTGATTTGGCAATTGTAGATACAAGAATGATTAAAATAATGCAGAGTAGGAGATTGATTTGGCAATTGTGGATATAAAAATCCTAAAAATAATATGTAGAGTAGGAGATTGATTAGACAGTAGTAGATATAAGAATGATTAAAATAATGCAGAGTAGGAGATTGATTTGGCAATTGTGGATATAAAAATCCTAAAAATAATATGTAGAGTAGGAGATTGATTAGACAGTAGTAGATATAAGAATGATTAAAATAATGCAGAGTAGGAGATTGATTTGGCAATTGTGGATATAAAAATCCTAAAAATAATATGTAGAGTAGGAGATTGATTAGACAGTAGTAGATATAAGAATGATTAAAACAATGCAGAGTAGGAGATTGATTTGACAATTGCAGATACAAGAATCATTAAAATAATGCAGAGTAGGAGATTGATTTGGCAATTGTGGATATAAAAATCCTAAAAATAATATGTAGAGTAGGAGATTGATTAGACAGTAGTAGATATAAGAATGATTAAAATAATGCAGAGTAGGAGATTGATTTGGCAATTGTAGATACAAGAATCATTAAAATAATGTGGAGCAGGAGAGAGATTTAATAATTGAGAATATTGAGATTTTTTAAAACAACTTAATCCCAAGGTGCTTCCAGAACTAAGTTCTAGCAACTGCCTACATGGCATAATGACCCTTGCTACATGTGACGATATGGAACTCCAGAAACAAGCTATTACTGTGTTGGAACAACTAGTTCTGAAAGGCAAATTTTCAACACAGCAAACGGATTTTGGAATGATGGTGAGCAAATTTAATTTGATGATTTTTAGCACGAAGTAAGAACATCATAGCCGTGTGTGAGACCAATCAGAGATCAAAATCACAAATGGTTTATATTCAAAAAAGGTGTGCATTTTGCCGTGCACTATCTCTCTGCAACGCACTAACTGCCGTAAACATAACAGCGAACAAGGTCAACCCTCATGCTCAAATACGTCACAAATACAAAGCAAGAGCTGCACGATTAATCACAACATCAAAGCACGCACTCATTGAGCAAATTATTAACACCTACCCAGTTTAAAGTCAATTGATTTCCTTTTTTATACATTTACTTGAAAGTATTTCAAAGAACTTTATTTCGGAGGTAATAATAACTATAAAAAATACTGTGGGCTTTTAAAATACTTCTGTGGCTTAGTGTCTTTTGTTCCCTTCTTTTTAAAAAGAAATATCGAGGTGATAAAATCTAAAATACTAAACTTATTCTTTTTTTTAATTGTTGAGTCTTATTTTCCCTCGATTTTGTCCCCCATTTCCTGTTAAAGAAACCTGTTTTACTCAATGTACTTATTTCATAGGCGAAGAAAAATAACATTTACCTTGGTGTCTTGAGTTTTATTATGTGCCTTGTATTATTATGGACGATGATTAAAATTATACTAATTTTAAAAATAATAAAAACATGACAATTCATCAGATTTTTTCTAACAGCTCTAAGTTTTAACACATGGGTTTTAATCATGAAGTCATTACAACCTTTCTTTAAATGGAAAATATATTATTAAAAATCCCCCCTCCCCACATTGTGTGTTTTTTAAATTTAAAACGACACTTTTCTTTTAAAAAAAACAACACAAAAAAAAACAACCTTTCTATATTAAAATCTAGCATTAAATTGTTGACGTCAAAGATTAAACTAACTTTTGTCTGTTTATTAGCTATTGTTATGCAAAATATTTAGATGCTAAATAATAACTACATCAATTTCATTTTGGCAAGCATCTTTTCCTAATATGTTAAGGACCTAAAGCAGATATTTTTAAGATTTCAGCCTCATGTGTTTAAGATCTCAGCCTGATGTGTTTAAGATTTGAGCCCAATGTGTTTAAGATCTCCGCCTGACGTGTTTAAGATCTCAGATTAAAGTGTTAAAGATCTCAGCCCAATGTATTCAAGATCTCAGCACATTGTGTTTAATATCTTCGCCTGATGTATTTAAGATCTCACCCTGATGTGTTTAAGATGTCAGCCAGAAGTTTTTAAGAAGTCAGCCATATGTGTTTAAGATTTGAGCCCAATGTGTTTAAGATCTCCTATTCACAAATAGGATCCCGTACCGTGTTATCGCATTTCCCACAAAATAAAAAAAAAGTTCCAAGAAAGATAGAGAAATGTATAGAACTTAAATGAACATTTTCATACGATTTTAGATCCCAATTTATTTCCCTTGGAACAAAATAGAAATTTTATGAAAAGTTCTAGACTTGATATAATACACCTCAAAAAAAGTATAGTAATTAAAAATAGAATTTTAAGCAATGACTCTTTTACGCATTTATTTTTCAATTTCTAACAAAATCTACAAAATAATTTCAAGAACGAAACCATTTTTTATTTAAGTTGAAAGGGACGAATCTAACGGATGGTAAAACTATAAAATCAAACACGAAGAAGGAGTCTCATATTGGGCTATAAGAGAATTCCAGTAATTTCTGTGAGGTCAAACGTATAAAGATCACAGTCAAATACGTCAACAAACCACGGCTGGTCATTCGCAGCAGCCTGGTCGATGTCCAGTCGTCTTGAGTAAGTCTTGCCATTGGATCAAAAAGGCAAGGACGAGAGAGTGAGGCTGACAAACTCAGCAACTTTCCCTAACTTTAAACACATACACACAAAACAACAAGAGCTGAAGTCAAAGCTACTACTCAAGTAGAAGCATTTGTCTTCCTGACAAGCGAATTACGAACAACAAAATATATATTTACACATTCAATTCAAGTTTAAACATTTTATTACATTTTTTTAAAGCTCAGAATGTTAATATGAATTATTTTCGTTTTTGTTACCTAGAAAAAAATACAAGTGCTGCTAACGATGCTTACAGAATCCATATGTGTAGTCAGGTAAGAATCCATATGTGTAGTGAGGTAAGTCAAAATGTAGGAAAATCTCCAATGTGCATTAAAATTTCAAGAAGGGCATTTAAAAAATAATTATGGTTCTAATCTGTCCAGTTATGATTATAGAATTAACATTAGGTAAAGGAGTTAATCGATGTGATTTAAGAAAGTTATTAAAAAAAAGTATCTAAATTTGAGCATTAAATTCCCTTTAGATAATTTACAACATTGAAAGGTTGGTTGTTTTTTTTTTTCATTTTGATTTCTTTTTTTTGTGTGTAAATCTCATCTCAGAAACACTTTACTTAATCATAATATCCCGAACCTTGAGATGATTCTACAGAGGAAATGCAATTTACATTTAATGCTGCAAGGGGAGCTTATTTTGAGCTGCAGAGGAGCAGAGGATTACAGGACTTTGGAGAAGTTTAACCAGGAGTTAAAGTGAATAAAGATTTATTACTTGTAATAACTAAATATGTTCCGTTCTGAGGAAGAGCTGCGCACGTGGCGAAGCATTAAAATGTCCCTCCACCAATGTTTAATTTGTAAAACAATTATGATGGCATGTGCTTAAAAAATAATATACCAGAAGTTATGACCCAGAGCTAAACAGTTAATACTAGAAGGCATATGGGGTTTCTATCTGCCTGCTATTTCAAAGCATTTTTTGCTCAGGTGTTTTATTATTTACAAACTTCATTATACAAGTCAACTCAGAAACACCACATCCAAGCCACAATTTTTACTCATGATACTAATTTGATGCATTGTTTATTCAAAAATAAATATAAAATAACGACCCTTTTCTACACCCCAAAATTGTATGTCAAGGCAATAGTTAATAAACGTTGTCATCTATCCGTATGTCATTTGTTTCTTTCATCAAATTCTTTCATATGTTCATAGGTCGTAACCAAATCGAAATTTACACAGTCTTTTTCCATTAGCTATGTTAACTTTAACAGAAACATATCTATCAGGCTGTACAGACCCAGTAATAACGCAGCTCTCTATCAGGCTGTACAATGACTCAAACACATGCATAAGGAAGATTTCTAGGGTAGGAGAAATAGGGGAATTAGGGGGCAAGGTGACAGTGCAATGGATCCCAGGTCACGTCAACGTCAGTGTCAATGAGAAAGCGGGAACGATGGCAAAAACCGGGGCAGCCCAGCATCAGTCATAAGTACCAATAACTTTTGGTAGACTTGATGGTAGACCACTTTAGGTCAAAGAGGTACATGCAATGGGCAGACAACACGACTGTCAGAGGCGTCATTTCAAATTTGCCCACTCCTAGCAAACAAGACCCATGGTGGGGGGGTAAGGCCGCAGACAGAAGAGTTTAGTGACTCACATGCGCACTGAGCACTGCCCCCATTGGCACATAATTCTGGCGTTTAGATAACAACAGGGACCCTACCTGCCGGCATTGCAGCCTGATTCAGGAGACACTAGCGCACCTGTTGACCAAATGTCCATAACTAGATGTCCCAGGTGAAGCCAGGGCAGTTTGAGAGTCCTATGTTAGAAAGATGTTGTATTGCTCAGCTCAGCAGATGCGCTGATAGCCAATGTTCTAGCCGGCGTCATAAGAGCCTAATCCTAGACCTTCAACAGAATATGTGTGCTAGTAAGTAGGAGAAATAAAGCGCACAACTTTCCACTAGAAAGTTCTATCATCGACTGCACAACAAAAATGCATGTGTGCCAAAGATAGTCTAAACACTATGCCACAATTACAATAATTTAACGTCACAACTTAGTGACAGGAACAGCGTTCAGTAAACAAAATAAATTTCAAAACACACCGTGCAATAAAATACAACATAGGGTTATCAGAAATGTCTAATTTAAGCCAATAGTCGACAACCTCCTACATTAGAATTAAAACTTTAAAAAAATAGATTAATATATTTTACCATTTCCTAGACACACAGTTAAGGCACGTTAACACATTGCGTGTGAATTTTAATAATTAGATACCAGTATCTAAAAAAAAACATTGGTGTTTGAAAGGGTAAAATAGAGGAAACATTTTATTGGAGTACTAGCCAATATACCCGGCACGTCCCGGGAAAGTTTACTAAAAGAATCTTCTACAGCGTTTCAGCTACACATCGAAAATAAGGGGCCTGTAAAAAAAGTCCCTCTAATTATCTTGTCTTTATATAGATACATTAAACGCAGCGAACAATTTATGTTCACTAATAATATTTTACCAAAGCCCATAAATTACATGTATCAAACGTCATTGCTATCATTATGATAATATATTATGGTTTATAAAAAATATATATATATTTAGGTTGCCCTCTTGAGAAGCTCACATAATACTTCAAGATTAAACGTTCTCTATATTCCCTAATCTTATCATGAAATATTTGGTACTGAAATGATCAGTTCAAAAATATGATTCCTAAAATATGTAGAGCTCTTAAGTAAATGAATAGGATTGGTACGTGAATAGCAACATGCATATATTCCTATTGCATGAATGTTTTTATTGAGATCATTACAACCAAGATTTCTTTTTTATAAATGTAATTGCAGATTGACATTACAATCAAAGTGTCGTGAGACGTCTTCACATAGTAAATATTTCAACGACCTTGGCCTGATGATGTTTCTTGAGTTAAACCTGACTGACGTGCAGAAAAGTATTTCAGCATTTCTTGTTCAAATATCCACCGGAAAGCCTTCTGAACTGGCTTCTGAACTTCAGGGCAAAAAAGATCCGGTCCAGTTCTACATCATCCTTCAACTCCTGAAAACGGTTTTTATTTTATTGCATACTTTTATTATATCTTTCATTCAAAAAAAATATAGTCTCAGTAAAATATTTCGTCTAAATTTTTTCCCGATCCTTAAAAATTGAAGCTTAACAAAAGCCAAAGAAAAAAAATCTTTTACACAGGGACCAGAGTTGTACAGAGAGAAGTACGGTGCACGCTACAGAGTGACTACTGTGTAATTACTTTGACTCGATTCGTGCTCCAATCTACTTCATACAAAATGTGAAAACATTATTTTAGAATTTACACATAAACATTTTTACCTTAAAATTACAATACATAATGAATTGTAAGTCAAAAAATAATTAAAATCATTGGTTAGGTGGATGCCTTAACTAAATTAAAACATTATCCCCACTGTTCCTAAAAGGGGCGAGTAGGACTTTCAAAATTGATACAATTGATATCAATTTTCATTTATATCACCTTTAATTGATATCAATTTTCATTTATATCACCTTTAATTGATATCAATTTTCATTTATATCACCTTTAATTCATATCAATTTTCATTTATATCACCTTTAATTGATATCAATTTTCATTTATATCACCTTTAATTGATATCAATTTTCATTTATATCACCTTTAATTGATATCAATTTTCATTTATATCACCTTTAATTGATATCAATTTTCATTTATATCACCTTTAATTGATATCAATTTTCATTTATATCACCTTTAATTGATATCAATTTTCATTTATATCACCTTTAATTTATATCAATTTTCATTTATATCACCTTTAATTTATATCAATTTTCATTTATATCACCTTTAATTTATATCAATTTTCATTTATATCACCTTTAATTGATATCAATTTTCATTTCTATACATTTTCTTTTATATACATTTTTATTTATAAATTTATTTCGAAATAATTTAGACAAAATGGTTACAACAAATATAATACAATGTTTACAAATAAATTCACAGTATAGACCATCATTACTTTTACTCAGATAATTTATAGCCCTTATAGTTTGCATTTTTTTCTTTTAAGACATTTTTAAAGAAGGATCTGCAATCATTGGAGTTCATCAAAGCGTACTTAGCAAAGACGAAGGCAGCACTTTTAAGACGTTTGGCTCCAAGTGTCCCTCCCCCTTGTTTTGCACTCATGATTCGTCTGCTCGTGCAGCTGTTAAATTGTTTATCCAGTGAGTATGTCTGGAGAAGTCTTCCATTACACTCTTCTTATGTTCATTTATGAAAAATATATATAAAACATTTATACCGCATGTATTTGCGGAGAAAGTTTATGAGTAACAAAGACCATGTTGATTACACGATACGCTAAACATTATTCAAAAAGAAAATAGTCCAATAATTTATAAAATTAAAACTTTTGATAAAATTTATCCATGGGCTAAGCAAGATTCTGATCTTGATAAATAAATGAAAATCCAATTATTCTAAACTATGATGAAACACGTTTTTAGAAAATATATGTTAAATTGATTTAACATTTTTGGTATACTTTTAACACATTCCACAAGTCCAAAGATAAGTCTTTCTAGTCCGTTTAGGATATGAAAAAAAAAATCAGCACTGCAGCACTTCAAATGCATACGTATTGGTTCCACTCTGAAGATTACAATAAATCATCAACTGCTTTACACCTAGCTAAAGTTAACTAATCACAACTACTTTACACCTAGCTAAAGTTAACTAATTACAACTACTCTACACGAAGCTAATATCTCAATTAACTTATATATCTGAGCACACTATCCTAACAACAAATACTACGTCATATCAAAATTATAAATAATTATCTTAACGACACCGTTCTAAAAGGCCGCAAAATACATTCAGAACCATACACAAAACACATAACTTACATACAAACAACAATTCTATCCCTATTCTAGCCTCGGCAATGTGCCTGAAATTAAATACATAACTATAGAAAACTAAATAGATCTCTGTTGCACCCGTACTGTCTTGGTCACTCCCTATGCGTGTGTCAAATGAGCTACTCCACTCTCCTCTACACACACATCCAAAATAAACACATATATCAAATTGTTCATCAACCACAGACAACACAATTCAATCATGTCAAGTCACCGAAACGGGCGTTTCCTTACTTGTGGCGTACGCCCCACAGGCAGTCATATCCGGAAATTTGATCGAAAGAAATTTCGTCGACGGAAAGTTGATCGACGGAAACTTGATCAAATGGAAATTGGGTCGAATCTTTTTTTCAATATATTATACAATATATTATAGTCCTATCCGTACTCGGAATAATCTCTGGCACAGCGGGCAGGGGATAGATCCTGCATTTGGTGATCTAATGTTGCTCTTTCGGGCGAGCCTGCGTGTCTCAGTTATGGTTATCCTACTGGCTTCATGAGATTTAGCCCCCTTCTTGACAGCTGCTCTCCACTTGGCTCTGTCCTGGGCTGTCTGCACTCATTGAGTAGGGTGATGCTGAAGGCCTTTAGTGCCGCTTTCAGTGAGTCTTTGCAACCCTTTTTTGACCTCCTTAGGACCGCTTGTCTATCTTGGGTTGTCAGAAGAGTATCTGTTTTGGGAGCCAGTGGTATTCCCTGTTGTACCTACAAAAATCACATTAATATTCTAATGATCCACCCGCATAACATGTTATTAAAGTCTTTGTTAAAAATGAAGAAATTTTTAATTTTTTATTTAAATATATTTCTATTTTATTGCTACACACATTTTGCGCAGGGGGTTGGGGTGGGGAATGCACTTGACTTTCTTCCACCTCCCCTCTCTCTGCTGGAGAGCAGACTCAAAAGAAGCGCTGATTGGGGTTATATACATCTTATGAAGTTCTAAATTCATTAGAAATCAGGGATTTCTCAACTTTGAGGTGACGTTTGCCTTATAATATTTTCATAGATGATGGGAATTTCAGGATTACTGTATTATTTTTGACATTTTTTGGGGGGCATTATTTTGTGTACTTTGTGGCAAGACCACCACCCCAGCAAGACCACCACCCCAGCAAGACCACCACCCCAGCAAGACCACCACCCCAGCAAGACCACCACCCCAGCAAGACCACCACCCCAGCAAGACCACCACCCCAGCCAGACCACCACCCCAGCCAGACCACCACCCCAGCCAGACCACCACCCCAGCCAGACCACCACCCCAGCCAGACCACCACCCCAGCAAGACCACCACCCCAGC